GCAGAGCTGTGACGGCCCAGTCGCGGCCATTTCACAAGTGCCTGGCACAGGCACACACATACACTCACCAGGGACACATGCCAAGGGGCAACGCAGGGTTGTGGGATGCATTTGGGGAATTGCCTTCTGATGGCTCTTACCCTTCTGGCTCTTGGACAGGGGTACTTGGGACCCTGTCAGGATATGTTCGTGCTGGTTTTAGTCCTGTGCTGGCAGAGGAGCCCCAGTCCAGTCCAAGTCAACAATTTGGCACCTGTTTGCCAGGTGCTGGTATTTTTCCAAGCCAGCCACATCCATGTCACACATGGGCTGGTGCAAACCCGGGGCACTGTGTGAGCAGCGCAGACCATGGCATCACACAGCCACCTCCAGGTCCTTGTCACTTCAAACCTGTGCCTGGCAGCAAACCATCTCCTGTGACAAGGTGGTGACAGACTCTTGCAAACATGGATGCTCTACCTGAGCCCATGGGCCAGCAAGGGCAGGGTGGCTCTGTGCCCCATCCCCCTTGTCACGTCACTCTGGCCTGCCATGCTGTGCTGTGGCCCTGGGGCAGGCAAGGCCAGCGTGCCAGCTAGGAGGCACCCGGTCACGCTAGCTGATCACCTGCCCCAGCTTCATTCCTCCGTGGCACAGTCACGAGTGCTGGGTGGTGCCAGACCCTTTTGTTTCTTGGGCACAGCATCCCACAGCGCACAGGGACATCCCCCTGCCATTGCTGCCACAGGGCAAGCCAAGACCACTGAGGAAAACACTGGTGCTGGGCAGACACAGAGCCTTAAGCCTGCGTTCAGCCAGGAGCTGAGCCCAAGGCTCCCAGTGTGCCTGGGGACCTGGCTGCCTGTCTGGGCCTCCAGTGCTTGTGGCTAGAAACCTGCCCCTGGGGAAGCTTTTTCCACCCCCTGCTGAAATGCAGGTGTCTCTAGAGCAGAGTGGGACATGACAGCTCTGTGCCGTGCCCTGAGCCATGGGCCACGGGATGATGGGGAGAGCATGCAGCATTCAGGAGTCTCCTGCCCAAGCCCTGCCCAGCCCACCCACCACTCTCCCCCACCCTGGGGGATCTGATCAGATGCCTGCCATTGGCCACATTGAGGATCCCCTTTCCCAGGGCTCCCTTCTCTGCAGACCCACAGCAGTCTCTAGGGAAGCATCATGGTCAGTCCATGAACCTGCGCTATGCCACCAATGGGAGAGGTGTCCCCAGTTTGTGACACCCCCAGCCCCTTACGTGTGCCTGACATGCCAGGAGCCTGCCCCCTTCCTTTCCCTTGTGTTTGGGAGCCAGGAGGCCAGCGGATCTCAGCAATCCTCCCCAACACCCAGCAGGCACCTTCTGGCTTTACTGACCTGTAGAAATGGCCTTCCTGCACATCTGCCCAACTGATGTGCCACATCCCAGGTCCTATAAACAGGCTGTGGGGAGAAGATCACAGTGAGGGACACTCCCTGGAGATGCTGAGACACTGTGCTGGGAGCAGGGGAGAATGTAAGCCTCTCCTGGGGTATCCCCATGCCCTCCTCAGAGCCACAGGGCAGCAGCAAACTGCTGCATGTTGCCTGTGGGACCCTCCACTGCTGAGGAGCAGCTGCAGCACTGCTGGGCTCAGGGTAACTCCTCCCTGAGCCCAAGGATGGGTGGCAGAGGGATGCCACAATCTCATCGCCAGAGCTGGTGACTCCCAGGCATCTGTCCCTGCTGTCTGCTTGCTGCTGGTCTGAGCTCCCAGGGCACCTTCAGGCATGTGGGGAGCATGGCACAGGGTACTGTCAGTCCAGGCGTGGCATCTTGGGGCAGCAAGAAAGAGGTGGTCAATTAGTTTGGAGTCAGCTGGTGATACAAGGGCCAGCAAGAAAAGGTGCCTGTGGTGCAGCGAGTGGCTGGGACACCAAGTGGGAGAAGGATTCTACTGATGTCACTTGCCCTGCCAGGAGTAATTGGGCCCATGATATACCTATGTTTGTTGCCCCACAGATCCTGTTTGCCCTGGCAGCACCATGGTGTGGCTGTGGGTACGGAGGCTCATGCTGAGATAAGCCATGACACAGGCTGGGGGTGACACCGGGCAGGGTGCTGGGGGCTGGTATGCCTCTGGGCAGCGCCAGCCCTCCAGAGACACAGCCAGGACTGCAGTGGCACAGCTCTCAGGACGAGCACTCCAAGGTGTGTTTTGAGCCCAGGGCCAGGGGGCCCCCAACTCTCACCCTGCGGCAGCAGCAGGGTGTGGGGTGCCCCACGCCAGGAGCGGGGTGTGTGCCAGGAGGAACCGCATCCGGGGTGGTCAGTGTGGGCACAGCCCGGTCATTGTGGGCACAGCCCATGGCTGGCGGCTCCTCGCTCAACTGCGCCGTCCGACCAGTTTAACCGGTGCTGGCTGGCTGGGAAAGAGAAAGTGGAGGCTGCTGGGGCTGAGGCCCGGCCCCGCGGAGTTGGGGGTACAGCTCACTGCCCCCGTCCCCGCCCTGCAGCACCTGGGGCTGGGGCAGGTTGGCTGTCCGATGTCTTGGGGGGCACAGGCTGGGGCCAGCACTG